GGGGCCCATTATACTCTATTTATAATAAGGAACCCTCAAAATTTAATATGGGCAATTATGTAGGTCCCTATATTAGCGACTGAGCCCTCAAAGCCCAGCTTGACCTTGGTGTGCTTGGCAAAGAGCCACAAGCCAAGCTAAACTGGTTTGGGCCGTTGATTGCTGCCCCTGAGCTTTCGGCCCTGAACCCAAAACCCAAAACCCTAAGCCCTAAACCCCAAACTCTAAACCCGAAACCCCCAACCCTAAACCCAACACCCTAAACCCTAAGCCCTAAACCCAAAACCCTAACTTCTTGGCGCCCAATCCAGGGCTCAGGATCCCCCTAGACGTCGTCATAGTCTACTTAGTCTAGTTTCTTGAAGTATCTGTCCGATTCCCTCTGTACTTCTATATTTAGGGTTTAGGGGTCTCGGGTTTAGGGTTTTATAATCCTACTATAACTCAAAAGGTGAACTTTTTAAAACTCCATGTACTTCTATGGTAGATACTTAAGGCCTGCAGGGGCTTAGGTGCATTCGGGCTTTCAACACATGCCTTAATTCGAGTGATGCTATTCCTTTGGGTTCCCTCTTGGATGTATACTGCAGTATACACCAGAACCCAGGGCGGTGAACAATTCGAAGAGGGGTTCAGGGGCCATAACATGCACCATGACGGGCTAAGTGGGAGTACGATTCCTATTTAGTCGGATCCCGGTACAGAGCTCAAGTTAAGGAGGCATCTAAGCCTAAAGCACCCGCGAGCCCAACAATCCCCAAAGTCTAAGCCAGCCCGACAGTCTAGACCTTCAAGCCCTTCAAGTAACCCGTAACTCTTATAGTCATAGTTGTATCGAGTAAACCGTATGGAGGCCATGCAGCCACATGATGGACCAGTGTATTCCTTATAGCCTCTTAGTAGTCCTTGCCGTAACCCAATATAAAACTGTTGCAAACCCGTTGAAGTCATCGTTGATTGCTTCTTCTAGAGGCCCCGGACAAGCTAAATACCCCATATGAAGATTCATCAAAAGTAACCCTTATACTACCCTTACGCAAAATGATAGACTCGTGCAGATACTGTGTATATATATATATATGTAGATTCATCTGTTGATTTGTTTATTTGTTGCATTACGTGATTCTGCATTTTATTCACCCGTATTTATTTAAACACCCTAAGTTGACATATGTATATAGGATGCGCTATATATTCATATATATATATATATGTGCGTGTATGTATGTGTGTGTGTGGGTTTAGTTGTCGTTCTACTTGTTTGTGCTCGTTTATTCACCTGACTATTTGTTATTTCATTTGTGTCATGTGTTTGTTTGTTCATACATGTTCGTCTATACATATATAAATGTATAACAGAATGAGTCAGTCTTGAGACAAGTGAACAAGAATGTGCAAATTCGTTCATCGACTGATTATTAATTAACTAGTTAACTAGTTCAGTAGTCTAATGACCACATAGCACACACGCGCACACATATCTCGATATATATACACACATATATACACGTTGTACATAGAGACATTTACATGTATATATATATATATGTATGTATACACATATGTATCAACACATGCACAGATTATATATATATATACACACAGATATGTCCATGTAAGTTCCTTTTGATTCCGTGGGGCCAAAGCTGCAGGAGCGCTACCGCGCCACCTCGGGCTCGGGCGACTCCAAGGCTGCGCTCGCTCGCGCGGACAAGTTGTGCCCCGGGCGTCGTAGTCAGAGTCATGGTCGGTTTAGCGTTCAGGGTTTAGGGTATGGGGTAGTAGTACTAGTCTAGTAGAGGTAGTTATGGTTATAGTTGTAGGTATAGTTATAGTTATGGTTGTAGTTATAGTTAGAGTTATAGTAGTAGTAGTAGTAGTAGTAGTAGTAGTAGTATTACTAGTAGTACTAGTAGTACTAGTAGTAGCAGTAGTAGTGGTGGTAGTAGTGGTAGTAGCAGAAGTAGCAGTAGTGGTGGTAGTAGTAGTAGTGTAGTAGTAGCAGCAGGAGGAGGAGGCGGAGGAGGAGGAGCAGTGTAGTAGAAGGTAGTATTATCGATTCTACTACGACAACAATTTTAAGTCCACGTGAGACCTCCTAAGCTTTTTTCAGGGGGTCAGGTTTTGGAGGTGTCGGGGGTTGGAATTGGAGGTACGGATCGAGAAATTCGGGTTTCTCCTGTGCAGGTTTGGAGGTCAAGGTTTATTGTTCTTGGGGGGCAGGAGCTACTTCGGATTAGCAGGAGCATGAGAGGGAGTTAGAGCGCAACGCCTCGAATAAAGCAGATGGCTGGAAGCATTGTAGTGTATTTGCGTTTCAGCAAAGTCCCTGGGCCTTAGAGCTAGAACAATGAAAAGGCTATTCTTCCGTACACTCCTTTCGTATTCCCTGTAGACCCTACGCACGGTCCTACCCCACGGCCTTGCAGGCACAGTCCCAAAAAGGCCTAAAGCCTGAAACCTGAAGCCCTCATCCTCTTCCCGTAACCTGTCTGGCTCTCCCGTGCGAAGGTATTGTGCCTCCCTGAGCGCTTGTTCGGAACTGGGTCAAGCCTTCAACCAAAGAGGGTTGGTGGCTGCACACCAGGCACTCGGCATTCTGGGATTTGGACGGAAGTGGAAGTGGGGGAGACTGTTTTCGGTGTTGATTACTCTGCGAGAGCTTTCGGACTTTTCTAGGCCAAATTGTTACCCAAAAAAGTTCTTGGGATTCATGATTATATCTAGACCATAACATGCCCCGAAACCCTATTCTAAAGTTTACGGCCCCGATACTACTTGGGTTTCTGATATGTGTGTGATTGCTTGTGAACTGTCAGCTCTGCGCTTAGAATTTAAGATGCTTGGGCCTGTGTGAGGTTAAGGTGGTAGGGAAGCAGTTCTTGCTCAGTCACTCCATCCTTGGAATTGTTGTCCAAAGTTTGCAGGGAGGCACTTCTTTTTTGCAAGGCGGCCGTGCCGGTTGAAAACCACTGCACCTGTGCAGTTTCCTCACCGAACCTCCCGCCAGGGCAACAAGCTCAAGGCAGTACGTTGCGGCTTCCATTCCATGCTGTGCCTTGCGGGCAAAAGTTCGGGTCTACCTGTAGTCTCCATTGTAGTTCCTTTTTTTGGTTTAACCAGTTAAATATTAAGGATTTCATAAGGTATCCCCAAAAAGGAACTACAATGGAGACTATAGGTAGGGTTGTAACAAATGTATGTTTGCCCAGCCTAGAGGACTGTTTTGCAAGCTGGAGTCTGTCTCTCGCTCCGTAGCACACCGCGCATGTATGCATCAGCGTGCATTAAATAGCCGGGCAAAGTTGAATGCTGCATGTGTGTGTGTGTGTCATCTTGTGCTGACGTAGAACCCTTCTATAGCCAGCGTTCCCTCAACCAGCCCAGCAGCACGCTTTCTGCAGACACAGGCAGGGATACCGAGGAGACGTTGATTTAACTTCCTGGTCGTGCCGTCCTGCACTGGACAAAGCTCGCTATGCTATCTTCGTACGCAACGTGTGTGATGCTCGCAGTAGTTGTGTTTGTCTCCGCGTGCGGTAACCTTCAGGAGCAACATCCGTCCAGTAGTTGGTTGCAGTTGCGCCAGTGAAGGACTCTGAAACCTCGTGCGTCAGTCATGGGACAGAACTGGGAGTAGCAGTACACACGAGCTGGGAACTTCACAATGATAACAATGCTGATGGTGACAAGGATAATGAAGCCGTTGGAAGGAATGGTTGTTCCGAGCAAAGTGCCAGTGTGTTGCGTCATCAGTTGAGGGATTAGTTTGCACAGTCTTCATATACATGTACCCAGTTGGACCGCAGTTGGCCTATGCCACCAAGGTGGATGCGCAAGTATGTCTGTATGTAACGTACATGTATGTGCCTTCCTTGTTCGTATTTTTCGGCAAGTGAAGATAAGTATGCATGCATGTAGAACCATATGCACATGTGTGTGTGTGTGTATGTATGCATACATATATATATATACACACCTATGTGCATGTACAGTCAGACATACACATGTACTCGTACATACATACCGGGTCAGCTTGATGCATACACGCATGCACGTATTCATGCAGATAGATTTTTGCACACACGTACATATACGGTTTATGTGTGTATGTACATTTTGCGTAAACAATACACATGCAAAAGCATCTCCTTCCACTCTACAGCATGTGTCAACGCTAGCTTTCCCTCACATCATCTCACACCGTTTGCATGCATAGTTCATGTGCACCGTTTGGCTTGTGCAACCTTTTGTCAAGTGGGTCCTCTCTTTCCCTTCAGCTGTGTTGATATACCAGCAACAAGTATGGATCCCATTGACAAAAACCTGTGCGGTGTTACTTGCTGATATGCTCGGTCCTTTCAGTTTATGCTCGTTGGGGAGATCTCTCCCCGATGTTTGGTGATCTCCGGCATTGCAGTCTCAGATGTCTAGATGGTGTGTCTTCTCAGAGCTTGCTTCTGTTTGCTTCTGGACATCTGCCGCTTTTTCGGCGAGGTGCGCGATCCGCTTCCCGAAGAGCGAGCAAAATCTTCTCGTTTGGCTCGGTGACGCGGCTTCCAAAATCATTCAGCAGGGAGATGATGGGGGAAGCTTGCGAATCGAAATTGAAGCGCTTGTCGAATCTTCAATGTTTCGGGTTTGGAGTTTATCGGTCCAATCCTCAATGCCGGTCCATGTACATCTCATCGGGGTGTATTATGTCTGCTTTTTAGATTAAACTCTTGCTCCGTTGTCTCCTTGAGCGAGCGTTTCCGACAGGAACTACAGTCCGCCGCCTCGTTTGCAAGCTTTGGTTGTCATGGCAGTAAGTAAGGGCCTTGACGAGTAGAACATGTACTAGCCTGATCTAGCCTGATACTGACTATAAGACCGTTGTGCCTAAACACTCAGACCCTAACGCCCTAAACCCAAAACCCCTTCCAGGGCAAGTGGCCGAAGATACTGTGCCTCAGAGCGTCGTTGATCGACTTCGTGGAGACTTGGAATGCAAAGTCGTCCTGACTCAGACTCTCGGGTTTAGGATTTAGGGTGCGGAGAGAGTTTAGGGTTGCTAGCTGCTAGCTCTCTGGAATACGGAATTGCACCGACAAACAACAAGTCAATCTGAACGCACGGGTCTCACTAGACAGACAGCTAGATGTACACATCTGTGTATACATATATAGATATATATGTATATTCAAGATGTATATATGCATACAAGTCTAAGAGGACTGACCAATCATAACAAATTTTATATAGATATGCGTACATATGGATTCACGCATATATGTCTGCACACGTACTCATGTGCATGTATTTTAGCATGTTATTCTGAGAGGTTGCAGCGTCATCGCCAATCCTGCGGCATACGCCCAAACCTCCATAAATCGAGGTTCCAAAACGTAATACTCCAAATCATCGGCTTTATTTAAGTAAGGCAGCTTCATTGACTAGACTCTCGATTGGTATTGAGGGATGGTTGGCGTATCTGTGCTAACTTCTGTCACAAACGCAAGCCCGATATTCGAAGCATCAGATCCCGAAGCAGAACCACCCGAAAGCAACAACGAGACGACAGAATCCCGCACGCGTTCTCTATTGCAAAAAGACACATATGAACGCCTGGGCTAAGGGGCCTTTAGCCTTCCTAAACCCTAAACCCTAAACCCTAAGCCCTACACCCTAAGCCCTAAACCCTAAACCCTAAACCCTAAACCCTAAACCCTATCCATCAGGTGCACCTGTGGTGCCCAACTTGGGCCGGGCAGCTCAGGGGGCAGCGCCGCGGCTGATGTTTGGGTTTACAGCTTAGGGTTTAGGG